GATACTTTCGATAGCCTTAATGAGATAGATTTAATGAGAGGATTACTTAAAAGTACTACTAGATAGGTATGTTCTATGGGCAGTAGTCTTAAGCATTTGGGACTGACGACTAATCTTAATCTTACGATTTTAGGGATTATTCCGAGCAAGCAATTTCATTACAAAAACTACCAATTGGAACGATTATTCTTAGACTGGTTTGGGAGCACTTCTAGAGGCTGGGAAAGCTGACACTTTTGAAAAATCACTGAAATTTTGCAAATTTTTACGAAAAGTGGAAAATTTTTCGCAAAATTCTGAAAAATGAACAACTTGACGACAACAGCAGACGATAAGGAATGTGGTGAAGGGTCACTGCTGGATCAAACGCACGTGAAAGTACCGGTGATATGCCTCTATGGATTGGTCTTCAATGTTTGTCTGTTCGGTGAGTTGCCCACGCAAATTACCCACACCTATGGGCACGGGTAAGTTGTAAACTTACCCACAGCTTACTCGAATTTCAGGGAATCTGTTCACGCTGGTCGTAATCGTCGTGCATCGCTCAATGCGAACGGCCACAAATTTTTTTCTGGCCAATTTAATGATCGCCGATTTGCTGGTGGCACTGTTCTGCATCATGCAAAATATGTTCCACGTGGTGGGAAGTCCGAATGGTAGCTGGCCTCTGGGTAAGTTTTGGGTAAATCACAACTAGTTTGGGTAGAGTTTGCGCTGAATTTAGGTAAAAATTCCCCAAGCTTGCCTGATCATTCAATGTTTTTAGGTGCGCTCCTGTGTCAACTCTATGTGTTCGTCCTACATCTTGTCCCATGCACCAGTATAGGTAAGTGTTTTTCCGAAATTCTACAATGAGTTACCCGGAATTTTTTCAGGTTCCCAAAAAATTTACCCGAAAAATTTTCAGGTATCTTAATCTGCGTCTCACTGGAAAAGTATATAGCCGTACTGCATCCACTGATCGCTTTGAAAATGCTAACCCCAAGGCTGAGAATTTGGATGATGTTAATCATATGGTGTACATCCATAATTGTAAACCTGCCCTATTATTTCACTACAAAGGAGCTGAAATTCGGCAAAATCGCTGCATGTACAAGGGATTTTTCAAGGTAGTTCTTTTCAAGGTAGCTACTTACCCGTACGGGTAAGTAAATGCACTGTGACTCTGTCTTTCTGTTTCAAGTACCGTGCTGATACGCGATATGGTAACGATATCATTCTTCCTGTGGTACGTGATCCCGCTGGTAACGTTGGCCTATGTTTACGCGAAAATTGGTACTTTCCTATGGATGAGCGCCAACCAGGGTGTTGTATGCACGGCGGCCGCCGCTGTTCGAACCTCTGACGGTTAGTTGCTTAACTTCCCGGGAATCTATCATTTNAGACTGCTATTCGCCATCGTGCTCTCATTCGCCTTACTAACGCTGCCACATCATGCAAGACTTTTGTACATGGTAAACTGATTTTAAATTTTGAAAAATTTTCCAAAAATTCCAAAAAATTTTGGAAATTCCACAAATTTTATCAAGAAAATGGCAATAGATAAGAGCAATTGATCAATCGCTAAGCAATTGATCTAAAGACACCAGATGAGATCAACGATATGGATCGANGTCAGACTGCTATTCGCCATCGTGCTCTCATTCGCCTTACTAACGCTGCCACATCATGCAAGACTTTTGTACATGGTAAAATGATTTTAAATTTTTCAAAATTTTCCAAAAATTCCAAAAAATTTTCGAAATTCCACAAATTTTATCAAGAAAATGGCAATAGATAAGAGCAATTGATCAATCGCTAAGTGAAAATTCACAAAAGTGATCACGGAAAGAAGGAGGTTTAGCGGAATTATTCATAAAAATCAATGCGATCAGATGATCAGCGATCACCACTATCTAAAGACACCAGATGAGATCAACGATATGGATCGATCAGATAGATGAATTGATCAAATCAGATCAATCACCTTCTAGTTCTAGATGTGGTCCAGAACGGCAATGTGCAACGATGGCTTGATCACACTGTTGCAACCGCTCAGCTATTTGTGTCTATTCCTTTCCAGCTCGGTGAATCCATTTCTGTTCGCGTTCTTCTCGAGGCGTTTCCGTGACGCAGTCTACGATATTGTGTGCAGGTGAGTTCCTTCTGATCAATCAATAATCGATAATCGATCACTGATCAATCTGCAATAAGTTTTCTATGAAGTCACAAACACTTTCAGACATGCATGGCGTAAACAGTCGTGGATAAGCCTGATACGTACCCGTACGATGATGTCGGATTGCGGTGGTGCGGACGCAGATGCCAAGTCGAGCAGTTTACCGAAGAGCTTTCGGTTGAGTGAGTTGAGACGGGCCAATTCGGCCGGTAATCGATGCTGAGCTGAGCTGAGCCGCAAACCGTTGCATCCATCTTATTTCTGCCGCTGGATTCCTCTTTTCTCCGCCGGAGTTTCCGATTCCGGTTCCGGTGCGGTTCCGGAGCGAAGCGGAGCCCGAAAACCACCCATTCCTTGTTGTCGCGGAGCGCAGTGTGTCGAAATCGAAGCCACCAAATTGCCGGGTAAACCAAATTGTGTGTGCGGCAAGCGGACACATCGGAGCCTTCATCGGGTAAACGCTCGGGTAAACCTCGGGTAAACGCAAGACTATCGGCAGATTCCGGAATACTCCGGAGCGCTAAGCCACTTCAAGACCACCTGAAACGAAAAAAAAAACAGAATTTCATTGTATTTTACGCACTGCATTCTATTTTTTGAAATACACCAATATTTTGTATATATTTATTTTTGAAATATATTCATATATATTTATTTGAAGTATCCTTTAAAATTAAAAGATTTACACATCACATTTATACTTTCTACAGTGTTTCATTCCAGATCTCATTTATCTCTAAGTCCTTTATGTACTCCTTTAAGTTCATATCATGTCATTGTGATCTTCTGTTCCTATTTATTATTATTCTTATTATTTTACTATATGTATCATCAATAAATATAAACTGATTCGTTTGAATTTACCCGGATTTACAAGGATTTAGAAGGATTTACAAGGATTTANTTATTATTATTATTTTATTATATGTATCATCAATAAATATAAACTAATTCGTTTGAATTTACCCGGATTTACAAGGATTTAGAAGGATTTACAAGGATTTAGAAGGATTTACAAGGATTTACAAGGATTTCTAAAGATTAACCTTGATTCAAATAATCGTTCAGAAAGCTGACGAAAGCCATGTTGTGGCAGATGTTTGTTTTTCGTATTATGGCGTGTATTATAAGAAGGCACAAATACAAATTAATTATTCAAATAGGACATAACAACACCGAATTGTGTTGCTATTGAAATGATCAAGTGTTGCTTGATCAAAACAAAGATCACTTTCCAATCAGTTTCGTCAAGATTTCCTCATCAATCCGTGATCTGTGATCAGTGATCAGTGATCAGTAGTACTTTTAGTTTACTTCACTCTCGAAGATACTTTCGCTGTCGATTCTCGATTCTTGACGTCACAAGGTCATTGAAGTAAGTAAGTAATGTCGTCAACAGCACCTTAACAATAATATATTAATGATGTCAATTAAATAGTGATAAATGCGATGCGTACTAATTAATATTAATGACTAATTAACTCTTATTTACTCACATTTTATGTGCCTAAGCCTTAAGAATTAATTTTTTGCTCAAGATCTCAAGATCAAAATGTAAACTTCTTCAAAATACTCTGCTCAAAATGGCGGTCTAGAAGGAGCTGCTGCTGCTGCCGCTTAATTTGGGTGGATCAGGGCCGCGATTTTATTGATTGATCAGCTTGCAACAGATCATTCTACCAGTAATCAATAGATCAATTGAACTAACTGATCACTTATTGACTGATCACAAAAATCAAAACAATTCCGATCAACTGAATCAACTGATCACTAAAATCACACAACTTATATTCATCCAGTCGAATCACATGTTGAATCAAAATCGCATGTTACACGCTATG